TTGATGACAGTGACTCTGACTAGGTAATGTTAGAACTTGTTTTTAAACTTTAAACGTTTAAGTTGGCCTTTGCGTCTTGCAGTGTTTGTAAGACACTTTCTTGCTTTGAGGACAGCTTCTTGTAAATATCCTTTACTTTTTAATTAACTTTGTAATGTTTAACTTAAGCCTTTGTGTCTTGTGATGTTTGTAACACAGCTAACTAAAAATATCTGACTTTTAAAGAATATTAACTAACACATGTGAAATGTATTGTTTTTTTCTTAATATGTGACATTGCCTGTGTTACTGTAAGGTAGTGTTTTAGGTGTTGTTACTTCTATTTTTGTTAATATCACAGGTAACTGTTTAAATGACTTACATATTTTTTCTCAAGCTCTAGCTCACCATGCAGGACAAAGGTAAGTCCGTACATAATGTCAACACAAATGAGTAGAAAAGGTTCAAAAATGATGTCGTGAACTGACTGTAGTCTCTTGTTTATACATAAGGTATAGCCTGTGGCTAAGGGATCAGAGGTAAGGTAAAAACACATAACAGAAGAAAAGTAAATTGAACAAATCAGTGATCTGTGAATTCATCCTTTTGTCTTTGTCTTTTTGTCTTCAGGTGCTTTACACTTGTCCTCTCCCAGCATTCCAGACGGCGCTAACACAGAGAGATGCTCTACCCAGAAGACAGCCTTACCCCAACCCAATGAGAAGGATGGATGACCAAATTACAAACTGGAGAGTGGTGCTGTGTTCCAGCTATGTAAGTTATTGCCTCACATTGGCTACAAACTGTCTTGAAGACTAAATCCTTCCAAAAGCTGGTATAAATCATCGTCCTACAGTACTGTAGGTCTAAGTTTATTTATAGTTATTGTGTATATATGTTGAGTTTAAAATAGCATTTTAACAACATGCTGCAGCTGCCAACAATGGAAATGCTGTTTTGTGTTAAAATTACGTCTTTCTTGTGTTATTGCTTTGCAGGGCAGCTGAGAGTGGACAGAGCTGCACAGAGGACCAAAGATCCACTCTCAGCACTTCATACCTGACTGGCCACAGCACCACCCCTCTTCACCCAGGGTGAGGAGGGTCCTGACCCCGCCTGCACAGAGGGAGTTGTGAACATGCACTTCTGTACCGGTGGGTTTAGGAGCCTCCTCACACACACACACGGATGAAGACTGTCACTGGAAGATGTCTCCATTGCATCAGCAGGACAGGACGTAAGCATTTGTATAATATTACAGTTTGTGATGTTTTATACATGTTTTTATTGCTTCATTTCAAACTAGGAGATATAAAATAAACCAGTTTTCATAATAGTTTCTGTCTCTTTAGTTGTTTTCTTAATAAGTTATTTGGAACATCATTGCAACCTGTCAGCTTTTTATTGATGATTTAGAAAGCTGCTGGTGGCCCGAGTGTGTACAGTGGGGTGTTGTTTTTGTCACATGGTGAAAGTGACCTCGGGGGGAGCAAAAAGAACAACTGAACAATTTTGGGATTCACAGACTTTGGTAATCGTTAAAAAAATGAAGAAAAATTGTTCTGTGTGAACAAGAAGCTCAAATATAAACCTTACTGACACAAATGATCTGCTATCTGTAAGCAGGAAAATGTTTTCATGAGCCTGGGTGAAGCTAATTTGTATGAGTTTAACCTCCTGGTCAAAAACTTTTAGAAGATTAATATGTTCACCCGCTGATTCTTACTTGGCCTGAATGTTTGAATGTTTGCAGTTTCAGGTCCTACTGATCAGTTTTAAGTACTGTAGAAAGTGAGCAGCAATTTAATTGAGTCCTGGGATGTAATGGGACAAAAGGGTAATGTGACAGACACATTAGTTCCCTCGTTTAACAACGTGTAAGCAGACTGCTTTAACCTGCAATTTACTGCATGTTGTTAGGCTGCATGGTACAACCACAGTCTGCCAACCACCCGTGGTGAGCGAAGGTTTTGAGGTCTTGCTCGAGCTACTGATGAAGTTTTATTAATGCTTCCCAACCACATTTCATCTCGATGGTCCAAGGCTTACATCTTTAAGCTCACAAATATACTTCTGTAATTAATCAGTAACCAATTTATTACTTCAAGTTACAGTGTGAGGGACATTGATTAACATAAATTAGATTTAACTGGATTATGTGTTTAGGTCAAGAGACGCAGAACTTCATCTTCAAGAGGCTCTTCTTAAATGTCTGATCACGATGTTTGTGTTTGTCTGCAGCATCACTGGAGCAGAGAGGGTATAACACAAGGCCACAGTCATGTGGTATTCTGTCCTGCTATTAAGTGAATAAAATACTGAAAAAACATCTAGACACTAAATACAGTCACTGGCCACTTCATTAGTTACACCTTGCCAGTACTGTTTTGGACCTTCTTTCACCTTCAGAACTGCCTTAATTCATTGTGGCGCAGATTCAACAAAGACCTGGAAACATTCCTCACAGATTTAGTTTCATATTGACATGATAGCATCACACAGTTGCTTCAGATTTGTCGGCTGTGCATCCATGTTGCAAATCTACTGATCCACCACATGCCAAAGATAATCTGCTGGATTGACATCTGTTATAAGATGAGTATACTGTGGTCATAAAACGATGGGCATGGTCAGCAGCACAGCTCAGGGAGGTTGTACCTCTGGAGAGGCCCTATCCTACACCTGAGGTTTTTACCAGTGAAAAGAACTGAGGTTTCCTCACAGTGTTTCCTAGTGTTTAATCAACAAAGGAGAATTTATTCCTTAGACTGTGTAAAATTTCTTTCATGGTTATTCTGCTGCAAAGGTGAGCTCTGAGATGGGCCCAAGCCATGCTTGCTCCTCAGCAGTCTTTATTTAACCTGATATGTCAAACCCAATTATTGTTGAAGACTGCTCTGACTCTGGAGAAGAGTTATGCTTTCTGTTTTTTTAAATGAGCAGTAATGATACTTGTAATAAATGTAGCCTTTATGCAGCTCTGGAGGCCTGGATTGCTGAATTGGACACTTGAAATCCCACCCTTGAAAACCCCGTAGCTGGTCAGGCCCCTGTAGCCGGAGCAGCGGAAGGTGGCGTAGGCCCTGCTAACTGTCTCCCAGCAGGTTATCCTCAGCAGACAGGAAAACATGATGGCTGGGTGACGGTGAGGAGGGAGCATAGTCTTAAACAGAAGCCCTGGTACACCACCACCGTGTTCATGTGTCTAACTGTTTCCTCCACTCGGCGACACACCCGCCAGGGATCAAACTCTGGTAATTGCTGATTCTGTTCTGAGACACATGAAGACAGCAGCAACCATAGTCAGTTGTCTTCCAGGGGCCAGAGCAGGCGACACTGAGTGAAATAAAACATGCTGGCTGAGGGTAAACCTGAATTCAGTAAAAGTATAATTCACATCAGCAATAATGACACCCGGTTACATCAATCAGATGTCACTAAAATCAATATTGAATCAGTGTGTAACTTTGCCAAAACAATGTCAGACTCTGTAGTCCCCTCTCCAATCAGACCAGGAGTGTCATGCGGCTAAGCATGTTCTCCTTAAATTGCTGGCTGTGTGACTGGTGTCCAAGAAACGATGTGGGTTTTATAGATAATTGGGAAACTTTCTGGAGGAAACTTGGTCTTGTTGGGAGACAATCCGACTTTGGATGAAGCAGCTCTTATTTCGCAGTGATGTTAAATTGGGGTGAAACGTCATCATAGCAGCTTTGACTGGCAGCTGCGGTCACGGAGAAACTTGCGTATCTCTGTTCAGGAATAGCAGATAGAGCGTAGGCTCTGAGAGGAGGGCCAGCGTTTACGTAGCCAGCGTTTAGTACATATAAAAGTGCAAATGGGAAAAAGGTTTTTGAAATGCAGTTTATTAAATTGGAATTCAAAAATGAATTTACAAATGCAGAATTTATTCTACAATTCATTATTTAAGCACAGAATTCTTTATTTCGATGCGCGTGGCTCTTATGGTCCTCCATACTATAGACCCCAAAGCGCTTTACACTACATTCAGTCATCCACCCATTAACACACATTCACACGCTGGTGATGCCGGGTCTTCTGACCACCACCAGTACGCAACAGGTGTCTTGCTCAAAGACACAACGACCAAGACTGTCGGAGCCGGGGTTCGAACCGGCAACCTTTTGATTACAAGACGAACTGCTAACGCTTAAGATTAGATTAACCTTTACTAGTCCCACACGTGGGAAATTTGTTGTGCCACAGCAGAAAGTGGACAGTGCAAATTTCAAGTATGGAGAAGGATACAAACAGCTCATAATCTAAAGCATATTCCACATTATCTGTCAAACATGATGGAAGCAATGTTATACCATACTGCCTGCTGTGGAATCAGGGCACTGGTTCCCCTCACATGATGTGACTGCTGATAGGAGCAGCGTGATGAATTCAGAAATGTGCAGCGAGTACTGTAATCTGCTCAAACTCAGAGATTTGGCTGATGTTGGTTGATTGGAAAGCATTTAAACAGTGTTACTACATAAGGACCCAAAGTGTACTGCAAAAACAACCCAAAATATCCCAAGGCAAAGAAATGGGATATTCTTAAATGTTCAAACCAATCACATGATCTGAGGCCAACAGAGCTCGCTCTTCAGTTACTAAAAACAAAACTGAAGGCAGAGACACACACACACACACACACACACACACACACACACACACAAGCCCAAAAGTCCAGCAGAGCATTTAGACTTCAGTCAGTCACTGACTGCCAAAGATTTTCATCAAAGTTTTAAACACAATGATTTCATTTAAAATCATATCAGGGTGTCAAAGGTACTTTTGAGCCTCTGAAATTGGGGGACAGTGCATGAAAATGGCTGTCGTTTCTGAACGGTTAATGCACTTTGTGAAAGTCCTGGAATTAAAGGAAGAAGTGTGACAGCTTAATAAGGGACATTCCATCTGTTGCTGCTTCCTGTATTTTTGAATGAAACAGACACCACGAGGTACAGAAAGTGAAACAAAACACATCACTTTTTCTTTCTCTTCGAACCCACGGTCTGCTTTTCACGAAGCATGTTATCACTTTGTCCATTTTTAATTTTTATTTTTGTCGTAAGACAAGCTGAGACCAGCATGAGCACTCTGAACCAGCAGTATGATGAGAAGGTCCGTCCCCTCATCGACCTCATTGACTCTCTCCGCTCTCTCGGTGTAGAGAAGGACCTGGCGCTGCCTGCTATCGCTGTGATTGGAGACCAAAGCTCGGGGAAGAGCTCTGTGTTGGAGGCGCTGTCCGGGGTGGCACTGCCGAGAGGCAGCGGTGAGCTCAGAAACTTTCCGTACATTAGAAGTGTCAAAGTGAAGCAGATAACGGAACTGTATCAAGACTGGCAGAGAGGTGGGGGTGGTGCAGGGCGTGTATCAGGCAGCAAAACACATTCTTTGGCGACTAGCCTGTTCCTTAAAATCTATATTTAATGACTTGATTAATTTAATGACACGCTATTTTACTTTATTTCATTAAAATAACTAGAACAGGGTTTGAACTTTGAGTTGACAATTTCATGACTTTGTTTTGTTATTTTGAATTTTTTTTAATGTACATAATGGTACATTTAAACTAAAATTACAAATGTGACAGATTTTCAGCTGAAGTGTTGCTGGTGATCCATAAGAACAAATATCAATTGGATCAAATAAACCATCATTACTAAGATATGAAAACATATGTGTGTGTGCGTGTGTGTGTATGAGTTGTAGAGGAAGGAGGTTGGTCTGGGTTTGGGGCCTATTTCTTATAAATTGAAGTTTCAAACAAGTCAAAGGAGGGAAGGAAATGGAGACCACAGAAAAAACTAGTCTGAACCTGCAAACTCGTTAATGCTAAACAAAGTGCAGCTCTGTTTCAAGCTAACCTTGCTCAGTTTCACCTTTGGTAGAGAAACTCCTCTGCTTCAGACTAATGGAAAAGGTTTAGCCTAGGAGTTTTCTGCCAGAAACTTTAAGCTTTCTTTTCAGTTACATTTATGATTTTAGTTTTAGGAATCTAAACTACCTGGTTAGGTTAGGAGCTGCTTGCTGTTAAAGCAGCTCCTCCCTTCTGTCCATGACCTCCCCTCTGTTGTTAAAAACGGTTTATTTTAAAGGGTGAAGCATGGCTGGAAAACAGAATGCTCACAGGAAGCTGATTAGTCCAAATCACTCTGGCTGAAAGCATTTCGGCAAGATGGATTCTGATCTTGCACAAATCAAACCGTCTATCAGAGCATTAGACTCCAACTAGAAAAAAAACAACCTTTTACATATTTGTATCACCAAAATCACGGGAGGCTAAATGTCATAATAGAAAACATCGGAAATCGTTCATTAATTTGTCCAAAAAAGAGAGAGAGAAATTGTCTGACACTCAGTGTTTTAAAACGAAGGTATTGTGACAAGATGTCCACTGGAACTGAAGATGACAAAAACAAAGGAAGGAGAGGCGTGGTATGGAAAGATAAGCTACCGCGACTTTGAAGAAAAGATAAAAGAGCCTGCACTCGTTGAGAAAATGATTCGAGAAGGTGAGTCTACATAATTCTTTCATGTCACTACTAAAAACCACGTAAAAGGTGGAAGCACAAAGTAGGCAAGTTAAATGTGTTGCTTGGGCATACGTGACATCATATTCTCTCTTTAGCTCAACTTAAATTGATCGGGAATGAGATGGGGATCAGCAGTGAGCTCATCAGTCTGGAGATTGCCTCCCCGGATGTTCCAGACCTTACTCTCATCGACCTGCCTGGCATTGCCCGGGTGGCTGTAGATGGGCAGTCGGCAGACATTGGTGATAAGGTATGATACCTTAGTCTCCCTCACAATTTTAAGGCCATTTCTTTGGTAGAAATTTCATCCAATAAAACACAAACCCAGAGTTTGATAGGCATTGGCATGTTAGTGTTAAAAAGGGACAACACTGACACACCAGTGTGACTGCTGTTTTTTGGTATTATATGTATTTATTGTTATGAGTTTGCTACTTTATCTGGACATTCCTGCTTACATCAGTTATTTGGTTGTATTGTTCATAACTGCATTTATGCAATTTATGAAATAATATTTTTAATCTTTATACTTTATTTTGAATGGATACTTTCAGATTAAAACTATAATCCAGACTGCCATCAGTAAACAAGAAACTATCAACCTGGTGGTTGTTCCATGCAACGTGGACATTGCAACTACAGAGGCTTTGAATATGGCTAAGCTGGTGGATCCTGATGGAGAGAGGACTTTGGGTAAGCAAGTGTCTCTCTTAAGTCATTTAGTTTCTTTACTTTGGATTCTGTTTCTGCTGCCAAGTGATTAACATCATATGGATGCAGTGAACCACAAACGCAGCACATCAGCCTGGAAGTTGGAGAAGAGCCACAGATTGCTCTTCCACACAGGCAATCACCCCATGCACATTTCCAAAGTTGTGGCCAAATCGCTTTAGCACAAGTTGTAGTGGTCATGGCAAAGCCCTGTTGGTAATTCAATAGAAAATTTGGGCAGAAAAGAAAAAGCAGGTATAAAAACTGAGCCTCCAAATTTGACTCAGGTACACTAATATTCAAGAGGAACAAGTTAAAAATAGGACAGCAACTTATTGAGAGAGACTTTCAGAAGGAAATACATGTTTTTTCTATTGGTCATTCCATCTTTAGTCAACACAGGCCTTCTGTTTGACCATCTCTGATTTGCATGAAGATTTTGTGGTCCAAATCTTGAACCTACATTACCGGTCAAAAGTTTTAGGACACCCCACTTTTTCCAATTGATAATTATGAAAAATATTTATTAAAATTATTCAGTTTAATGTCTCATTGCACCCTGAAATTAAAACTAAGTCCAAATATGCAATTGGAGAAGAAATCATGGCATAAATTTATAGACAATCATTTATTCTAAACCGTTAAATAAATGGTAAATGGCCTGCATTTGTATAGCGCTTTACTCAGTCCTTAAGGACCCCAAAGCGCTTCACACTCAGTCATTCACCCATTCACACACACATTCACACACTGTGACTCATCAAAGTACCTGGCCCCACCTTCCCATATCTGTTGCAGAAGCTCCCATAAATGTGTGGCACTTGTAGGTTTCGTTTCCTTGACTCTTCTGTCCAGTTCATCCCAAACCAGCTCGATGGGGATTAAGTCTGGAGACTGTGCTGGCTACTCCATGTTTTGAAGCTTACCATGTTTGGGTTTTTTTCCTGAGGTAGTTATGGCATAGTTTGGACTTATGTTTTGGGTCATGATCTTGCTGTAGGATGAACCCCTGACCAACTGGACACATACAAAAGGGTATTGCATGGTACTGAAGAATGCTAAGGTAGCTGTTTTAGTTCAGGGTGCCTCTCAGTCTGTACAAGTCACCGACCCTGGATCCATCAAAACAGCCCCAGACCGTCACACTTCCTCCTCCATGTTTGGCAGGTGATGCCACACACTGTGGAACCATCCTTTCACCTACTCGACGGTGTACAAGGATCCTGCGTGATGAGCAACAGATTTCAAATTTTGATTCATCAGTCTATAATACCATCTTCCTGTCTACAGTAGTCCAATGGTGGTGTTTCATGGCCCAGGCAAGCTTCTTTGTCTTATTCTGATGTCTTAGCAAAGTTACGCAAGCTATCAACTCTCAGAAACCTGTCCTCAAATTCAGTTGGCTTTGGGTCTGCCAGACCTCTTCCTATCAGAGTTTGCCCCAGTTTCAGAGTGCCTTTTGATGGTGAAAAAAGGCACCTTGACATGCTCCAACACTGCTTTTATGCAGACAGAGGGGGTTGTAGGTAATCCTGAAAAGTTGGAACACCAGCTTTCAAGGCTTGAAATTTGTTAACCCATTTTGTGTTCCCTGAAAAAGACCTTTTTGTATAATTCTGAAATGTACTTTTTTCCTTTTTGGCTAACCTTACTTTTTTATTTTTTTTTACCTCTGGCCTTTCTAACCATTTATCGGACCTGAACTACTTGAATTGCAAAAAATAACTGGGAAAATGGGGGTGTTCTAAAACTTTTGACCAATTTGTTAAAAACCTGTTGGATCCACTTACTTTAATCCCTGCAAAATGATATCTGAGGCAGTGTTTTAACATGTACATCTGAATTACTATTAAAGATAAAACCATAAATGAATGGAGCGACAGCTATATATAAACAATTTAAAGGTAACGTGTCATGAGACAGTAAAATGAAAGAAAGAATGCACTGTTAAATAAACAGTGCATTCCTGATGGATTTTAACTGACTGAGTACAAGCAATCACTGCCAGACAAACATGTCCAGTAATGTGAAACGCTGCATTTATATGTCTCCAAAACATTTCTGACATCCACTGGATTTCTTTTGCAAACATCTGTGATCATGTTAAAGATCCCTTTCCTGCTGAGCAAACAACGTTGGCAACATTTGATGACTGGCACCAAACTCTGACTGGAGCTTGCAGTGATCAATACAAATTATCAGTCTTCTCATAAGGTGGGGAATCCAACACTATATCTCTCTGTCAGGTGTCTTGACTAAACCTGACCTGGTGGACAAAGGCACAGAAGAGAACGTGGTTAAAATTGTCCATAATGAAGTCATCCCGCTGAAGAAGGGCTACATAGTGGTCAAATGCAGGGGTCAGAAGGAGATCACAGGGAAGGTTTCACTTTCTGAAGCACTAAAAAACGAGGAAGCCTTCTTCAAAGAGCATGCCCATTTCCAGTAAGTTTGCTCTTTTTGGAAATTATGCAAAGAAGTGTTTGTGGTGTGTTAGGCTGTGTTGCTTATACTCTAACCTTTTGTTTGTACTGTAGGACTCTCTTTGATGAGGGCAAGGCCTCTGTTCCTAAACTGGCAGAAAAACTCACTCTTGAACTGGTGCATCATATTCAGGTGAATACCTATTACTGTTTTACCTTTGTAGGTTACTGGGGAGAGCTTTAACCCACTCCAACTTTGATGTGATTTGTCCATGTGATTTGTAGAAATCTCTGCCACGGCTTGATGAGCAGACACATAAGAAACTGGAACAGACTCAGGAAAACCTAAAAAAATTAAGGACTGGACCCCCATCTGATGCAACTCAGAGACAAAAGTTTCTCAGTGATGTGAGTAGAAGTGTAAGCAAAATGAATAAGAGCTTCTGGAAAACACACGTCCTGTTCATTTAATTGAATCTGTTCTATCTTAGCTTGTGTTAGCATTCGCACAGGATGCTATCAGTCTGACCAAAGGTGAAGAATTAAAATGTGGATACAACTCCAGCATCTTTTTCACACTCAGAAATAAGTTTGAAGCATGGGAGAAAATCATAAAAGACTCTGCATCATCATGTAAGTTAATTAACCACTTTTTCATTCATCAGTTTTTAAGATTCCCTCTGTTGCTTACAAGCTACTACATAAAGTAACTCTAACATTTAAAGTAAAAAAATTACTGTCATTAAAAAAACATATTTTACATCTTCACTTAACTTTCATTGCACTGCAGTCAAAGAGCACATTCTGAGAGAAGAGTCTCAGTTTGAGCGCACGTACCGTGGAAGAGAACTGCCATTGTTTGTGAGCTACAGTACTTTTGAGTCCATAATCCAGAAGCAGATCAAACAGCTGGAGGAGCCTGCTATCCAGAAACTCAAGGAAGTGTCAGGCATGTTTTTTTTTCTCAAAATACTTGAATCTTACTTTGCAGGTAATCTTTCATTTGGTACATTTTTTTGACTAACTTATTATCGTTTTATTGCTTTTAGAGGTTGTGAGGAAAGAGCTGTTTGAACTGGCACAAAACAGCTTTGTGGGCTTTCCGAACCTCATCAATACAGCGAAGGTATCGTCTTCTTTATAATGTATTACTGTGCACATATTACTAAACGGTAATGAATATTTATTGACATTTTTTGTGTGATTTAGATGAACATTGAAACCATCAGGAATGAAAGGGAAGAGGAAGCAAAGTCCATTCTGGGGATGCAGTTTAAGATGGAGATGCTTGTTTACACTCAGGACAGCAAATACATCACAGAGATACGAAATGGAATTTCCAAATACGGCCAGCTGTACTTTGGTGGGATGACCTCAAAGGAGATGATGAGACATTTTGAAGCATATTACAATGTAAATGTCACTCAATTGCTTTTTTAATGCTTTTGTTTGTTTGAAGCATGTAATTCATTGTATCCACATGTATCCCATTGAAATAGTTGACTTTAGTTTTTTTTTAACATATTAAGAAAAGCAAACACTGAAACCTCGTAGAGAAAAAAATAATACCTAAAACTTACATATTTTATAATAATAATGGATTGGATTTATATAGTGCTTTTCAAGGCACCCAAAGCGCTTTACAATGCCACTATTCATTCACTCTCGCATTCACACACTGGTGGAGGCAGCTAGAGTTGTAGCCACAGCTGCCCTGGGGCAGACTGACAGAAGCGAGGCTGCCATATCGCGCCATCAGCCCCTCTGGCCAACACCAGTAGGCAGTAGGGTAAAGTGTCTTGCCCAAGGACACAACAACCAGGACAGAGAGTACGGGGATCAAGCCGGTGACCTTCCGGTTACAGATGCGCTTCCCAACCCCCTGAGCCATGGTCACCCATGAATCACACTTTTAGATGCATAAAATAAGATCTATTATTTTATGGTGTGATTAAATATGTCTAGAGTGACCTGAAATATTTTTTGATAACTACATGTAATTTGCAATAAAACCTTAAGGAATTTTTTAATAAGCGAAGTAGAAAATGTCTCAAATTCAGTCCTAAACCAGTGAGCTCTTTAGTACTTCTTATTTTTGTCTTCTCTGCTTACAGATTGCTGGTCAGCGTCTTGCTGACCAGATCCCCCTGGTGATCCGGTATCAGATGCTGCAGGAGTTTGCCAGCGAGCTGCAGAGTAAGATGCTGGACGCATTTTTGGACAAGGAAAGAAAAGAGTACCTGCTTCAAGAGGATAGTGGCACAAAAAATAAAAGAGAAGATCTTAAGATGCGCCTTGAGCGTCTCTCAAGAGCTCACATTCTGCTGTCTGACATTCAAAACTTTCAACCAGATTCCTAACCTGGCAGCACAAAGCACGAGGTTGGACCTCACTGCAATCTCTCCAAGTATTACTAGAATTGAAAGGGTTGGGTTTTGCACCTATAGTCATTTATAAGAAAGGAATATTTCTATACAGGTATCATAAAAAACAGATACTGTTGCACAAAGAAGTCTTAAGTGCTAGAAGAAGAAAAACAGAAAAACAACACACATCCAGAGTTTTCAGATTTCTGCTCAACTGAATCAGATTCTGTGTTTTGGACAGGAATACTTTTTCATTATTATGTGCTCTGTACCTTCACGTGTTTTATCATCTGTTATAGGTTTCCTATTCATCTTCAGTTGTATTAAATACATAAATTAATAAAATGCAGTGAAACAATAAAACTGATGTTTCTGACAGTATTCATTTTTGCTGAGGCTCCACATAACTGCACTGAACCACAGCTGTGTACATACAGATGTCACATTGCTTCTGGACAAAAATCAGGCCATGCAGTCAAAGGAACTCTGTAAACGTCAATAATGTGGTCATGTTCCTAGAATCGATAAACATGAACTAAAAAAAAGTTTGAATTAGCCATCATCTTTCAAGATAGAGTGTCACATTCCCTCTTGACATCTGATTTTCCTCTAACCTTGACCCATTCCCTTTGTGGCTGGTTGAACCCTTACATAGTGAAACTTAGCTGAAATGTATTACAAACGCTTGTGTGCAGTGATTTATGCGCAACTTTTGAGGACTCTGACCACACTCTAAACTGTTTTACAAACGCAAATTTCAAATTTGAATACATAGTGATCCCTCACGCTTTTACAATAGCCCATAAAGGTTAGTATTTAAACTACATAAGCTGCTGCGTTTCTAACACTATTTATTGAAAATTTCTCTCCGTAAATGTAAAGTCAAATAAAACTGGCAAATTAAAGTAAATCTCTACACCACACCAGCCTCTTTTATCCAGTATAGCCTCATAAAATCAGACAGCTGTGACATTAACCAAAAACACCAAGATGTACCAGAATAACAGGAAGAGTATATGTAACCGTATGTCTGACAATGAAAGGTAAAAAGAAAGACTTCCAAGTAAATAACTTGCCCACACCAGCTCCTCTCCCACATGAGAAGTGTAGAAAAGGGGAGAGGCCAAAGGGGTACAGGGTTGAACCAAAGAAGAAGAAAGGGATGAGGAAGGGCTCTAACTTATAATCAACATAACTACAGGCTTAGAAGTCCTAAAAGTAAGGTATACCAGGTACAGCTTGGGTTTCGAACACATTTTGTGTAATTATAACAATATGTCATTTGTGACCTGATTACATTCACCCCTCAAGAATTACATAAAATCCTGAAGAGCACACACACACAAATACAAAAAATATATGTATAAATACACCCACATTAACAAATAACACATGTGATAATAATAATAATACATGTGATGTCAAACAAATTCACATCACATGTACAATGAATTAGATCAGCAACATAACTACCTCCAAAGATTATAAATGATCTGAGACCTGCTCAGCGTCTAGAAAGATCCCAGGACACACTATAGACAAAATGAGGTGCAGTTTACACCACACAAAACAGACCATAATATCTATGGGCATCACCATAAAGCAATCAGACCTCACAGAGGTGCAGACAACTCTGTGATGTGATTTTCCTTTTCCAAAAACAATACCGATTGGCAACATACAGTAATGAACAAATTCACACATCAATAACCGCTGCTCGAACAGGTTCAAGCCCAAGAAGTGTTTCAGGTGGAGCCATTGATTCAATCAAGCGACAAACTGGTTTAACGATTCTACCAAAACGTGTGGTAAGTCCCTGATCCATGTCCACTTTTCAGGTTCAAGAGAATGAAAACTGTGGGACAGGAAAGCAGCAAGGGAGTCTGGGGAGGCCCCATCACCAGCCAACCCACCAAGGTCAGAAGCACCCATCATAGGAGGGGTTTGCTGAATGCTATCTATGCCTGGGTCCACAGCGGGCTGCTGATGGTCATCACACTCACCAATGCGGGAGATGGAATCCACAGTACAGGCGGTGGTAGCTCCTGCCATTACCAGTGGTGAGGCATACTTGCTGGTGGATGGTGCCTTTCATCTCCATGTCTGACAGCACCTCTCTCAACTTATGATAGTGAGCCATGGCACTCTGCGATACAGAAAGGATGGTCGTCAGTGAGGTGCATACGATGGAGATATTACCATATAACAAAAAAGCCTCACACACAGTTGTGCAAAACTTGACAAAACAATGAAATCTGGGTGGAAAGAGATTAAAGTAGCCTAATGAAAACATCATGGAAAAGAAAAGAAAACATAGATGTCTCCTCTTAATTAAAACAGGCTTTAAAAGACATCAGTTGCTCAACAAAACTCTGGCTCGAAACTACCATTAAGCCAATATCACTGGAAAGAAAATGTGTGCATCTCAGTACTATAATCTCTGCTGAAATTCAGAGATTTGGCTGATGTCAGTTGATTGGAAAGCATTTAACAGTACAACTCCATAAGGACCCAAAGTGTACTGCAGAAACAACCCAAAATATCCCAAGGCAAAGAAATGGGATATTCTTAAATGTTCAAACCAATCACATGATCTGAGGCCAACAGAGCTCGCTCTTCAGTTACTAAAAACAAAACTGAAGGCAGAGACACACACACACACACACACACACACACACACACACACACACACACACACACACACACACACACACACACACACACACACACACAAGCCCAAAAGTCCAGCAGAGCATTTAGACTTCAGTCAGTCACTGACTGCCAAAGATTTTCATCAAAGTTTTAAACGCAATGATTTCATTTAAAATCATATCAGGGTGTCAAAGGTACTTTTGAGCCTCTGAAATTGGGGGACAGTGCATGAAAATGGCTGTCGTTTCTGAACGGTTAATGCACTTTGTGAAAGTCCTGGAATTAAAGGAAGAAGTGTGACAGCTTAATAAGGGACATTCCATCTGTTGCTGCTTCCTGTATTTTTGAATGAAACAGACACCACGAGGTACAGAAAGTGAAACAAAACACATCACTTTTTCTTTCTCTTCCAACCCACGGTCTGCTTTTCACGGAACACGTTATCACTTTGTCCATTTTTAATTGTCATTTTGTCGAAAGACAAGCCGAGACCATCATGAGCACTCTGAACCAGCAGTATGATGAGAAGGTCCGTCCCCTCATCGACCTCATTGACTCTCTCCGCTCTCTCGGTGTAGAGAAGGACCTGGCGCTGCCTGCTATCGCTGTGATTGGAGACCAAAGCTCGGGGAAGAGCTCTGTGTTGGAGGCGCTGTCCGGGGTGGCACTGCCGAGAGGCAGCGGTGAGTTGTCTTATTTCCAGCTCAGAAACTTTCCGTACATTAGAAGTGTCAAAGTGAAGCATACAGCGGAACTGTATGAGGAATCAAGGCTGGCAGAGATGGGTGGGTGGTGCAGGGCACGGATAAGGCAGCAAAACACATTCTTTGGCGACTAGCCTGTTCCTTAAAATCTATATTTAATGATTTATTAATTTAATGACAGCTTACTCATTTTATTTCAGTAAAATAAGTAAAACACAGTTTGACCTTTGACGTGACCATTCCATGACTTTGTTTTATTTTTTGAATTTTTTGAATGTACTCAATGGGAATTTTAAACTAAAATTACAAATTTGACAGATTTTCAGCTGAAGTGTTGCTGGTCATCCATAGAAACAAACATTGGATCAAAAGATCGATCATGTCTGCGTTATAAAATGTGGCACACAGAAGAAAAGCTGACAGACTGTCACATCCTGGGTTGGAGCCAATTCTGTTTCTTCTTTCAGCTAATGGATTTATTGGGGGGGTTCTTTTTCTTTGTGTGTGTGTGTGTGTGTTCAGTTCAGTTCAGTTCAATTGTAGAGGAGGGGGGTTGGTCTGGGTTTGGGGGCTATTTTCTTTAAAAAAAAAGTTTCGAACAAGTCAAAGGAGGGAAGGAACTGGAGAGCACAGAAAAAAACTGAAATAGATGGATTCTCCCCTGATCTCGTGAGAATCAAAATGTCTGTCAAAGCAGAGTTACTCAAACATACCATTAGACTCCAACTAGAAAACAAAACCTTGTTTCAATCTCTTACAATTCAGTTAAAATCTGAAATCGTTCATTAATTTGTCCAAAAAAGAGAGAGAGAAATTGTCTGACCCTCAGTGTTTTAAAACACAGGTATTGTGACAAGATGTCCACTGGAACTGAAGATGACAAAAACAAAGGAAGGAGAGGCGTGGTATGGAAAGATAAGCTACCGCGACTTTGAAGAAAAGATAAAAGAGCCTGCAGTCGTCGAGAAAATGATTCGAGAAGGTGAGTCTACATAATTCTTTCATGTCACTACTAAAAACCACGTAAAAGGTGGAAGCACAAAGTAGGCAAGTTAAATGTGTTGCTTGGGCATACGTGACATCATATTCTCTCTTTAGCTCAACTTAAATTGATCGGGAATGAGATGGGGATCAGCAGTGAGCTCATCAGTCTGGAGATTGCCTCCCCGGATGTTCCAGACCTTACTCTCATCGACCTGCCTGGCATTGCCCGGGTGGCTGTAGATGGGCAGTCGGCAGACATTGGTGATAAGGTATGATACCTTAGTCTCCCTCACAATTTTAAGGCCATTTCTTTGGTAGAAATTTCATCCAATGAAACACAAACCCAGAGTTTGATAGGCATTGGCATGTTAGTGTTAAAAAGGGACAACACTGACACACCAGTGTGACTGCTGGTTTTTGGTATTATATGTATTTATTGTTATGAGTTTGCTACTTTATCTGGACATTCCTGCTTACATCAGTTATTTGGTTGTATTGTTCATAACTGCATTTATGCAATTTATGAAATAATATTTTTAATCTTTATACTTTATTTTGAATGGATACTTTCAGATTAAAACTATAATCCAGACTGCCATCAGTAAACAAGAAACTATCAACCTGGTGGTTGTTCCATGCAACGTGGACATTGCAACTACAGAGGCTTTGAATATGGCTAAGCTGGTGGATCCTGATGGAGAGAGGACTTTGGGTAAGCAAGTGTCTCTCTTAAGTCATTTAGTTTCTTTACTTTGGATTCTGTTTCTGCTGCCAAATGATTAACATCATATGGATGCAGTGAACTACAAATGCAACACATCAGCCTGGAAGTTGGAGAAGGGCCACAGATAGCTCTTCCACACAGGCAATCACCCCATGCACATTTCCAAAGTTGTGGCCAAATCGCTTTAGTACAAGTTGTAGTGGTCATGGCAAAGCCCTGTTGGTAATTCAATAGAAAATTTGGGCAGAAAAGAAAAAACTGGTATAAAAAACTGAGCCTACAAATTT